AATTTGAGAAAAAAGTTTCGTTTCCATGGTTACGCCGCCATATTGGATTTTATTGACATGTCTTACGTAATGGATACCACACTTAGCGCTCATGGAAATTGGTTGTTTTTTTAGCATGTGTGTTCACAAACATTAGATCTAAAAGTTAGTTTGTTGTTTTTTTCCTACTCGAATTAGAAAATTTGTAATGAATTTTTTTTCTGAGGTAGCATTCAAGTTTGCGAAAAATCCGTGAAAACCCACACTCCAGACACCACCAACAAAAATCTATTCCATATATCAAAAATTCAACAGACACATTTTTAGTATTACCTTTTCTCTTCATTCTGTGAAAATGTCATGTAGATTGGATGAAAAATGGTGGAGTTATTCAAAAAAGTATAGAGAAAAGTAGCACTTTGAGAAAACGGCCGATAAAGAAATAGAAAATACTGACTTTATGAGGAAATGACGGTTACAAACATGCCCATTATGGGAAAAAAATACGGTTTTTGGGGGTTCTTATGCCATGAAATAGTTGTACGAGAGGTTGAGAAAGCTAAAAATGCCTACAACTCAAATTCCATGATTTTGAGTCGAATTTTGATTTTTGGGGTGTAGCCCCCCCCCCCCCCCCTTAAATTCGGAGGTCCAGCCTATTAAATAAACTACAAGTGTTAATAGTACAGGTGTTAAACCCATACACTTACTAATACACCTTGGTCTATGCACTTCTCAGGCGCCTAGAGATCGGCTCGTCTGCTATGTTTGTCTCTCGCTGTGTTTGGTCTTCTCTTTCTCCGTTGGTCCGTCTGTCTGTTTGTCTCTCTCTCTTTCTTCTCTCCATCTCTCCCGACTATTTTTCTTTCTTTCTTCTTTCCTTCTTTCATTCATTCTTTCTTTCTTTCTTTCTTTCTTTCATTCTTTCTTTCTTTCTTTTTGTCTTTCTTCCTGTCTTTCTGTCTTTCTTTCTGTCTGTCTGTTTGTCTGACTGTCTGTCGGTCTGTCCATCTTTCTTTCTTTCTTTCTTTCTTTCTTTCTTTCTTTCTTTCTTTCTTTCTTTCTTTTCTTTCTTTCTTTCTTTCTTTCTTTCTTTCCCTTCTATACGCCCCTGTCTACCTGTCTGGTATCCCTAGCTGTGCGTTGCATGTGATAGCGCTATATTCCGGGCAAGCCCTGATGATCCTGGCATAGCACTATGGGCCAAGCCACTCATAAAACCGCTCTTTAAACGTGCTGTACTAAGTGGCCAAACGACAGGGGGTGGGGGGGTGACCCTGGGAACGTTGTCACGGAGAGAGAGGGGGAGAGAGAGGGGAGAGAGA